GCCGCCTACCGCTACACCCAGGAGGGCACCCGGGGCAGCGTGAGTGGGGCTGGGGGGGGTGGACAGGGAGGATCCCAGGGTGGGGTAGGGGGGTGGGTCCTGGGGGGTCCCATCCTCTCACGTGTCCCCCCGTGTGTCCCCAGGCCTGTGGGGACGACGCTGGTGGCTACCGGGCGGTGGAGGAGGCCATGGGGGTCATCGGCTTCTCCCCGGAGGAGATGGGCTCCGTGCGCCGCATCCTGGCCACCATCCTGCACCTGGTGAGAGCCCTGCCAGTACGGACCCCCCCACACCAGTATGGGGCCACCCCCACACCAGTATGGACCCCCTACACACCAGTATGGCCACACGCACCAGTACACACCAGTATGGCCCCCCACCCCACCAGTACAACCCCAGGAAGACCAGTACGGTCCCTCACACGAGTATGGTCCTGAGCAGACCAGCGTGGGCACCCCCAACCAGTATGGCCCCACCCCACCAGTACAACCCCCTGCACACCAGTAAGGGCCCAGTATGGACCACCCCCCTCACCAGTTTGGGCCCAATGCAAACCAGTATAGCCCAGTACAAAGCAGCATGAAGCAGAATAGCCCATCTCAGCTGTATACGAACCAGTACAGTCCAGTGCAAACCAGTATGGCCCAGCATAGCCCAATCTAACCAGTATAGCCCATTATAGCCCAGTGCAAACCAGTATGGCCCAGTACAGCTCAATACAGCCCAGTGCAAACCAGTATGGCCCAGCACAGCCCAGTATAGCCTGATTCCAACCAGTATAGCCCAATATAGCCCAGTGCAAACCAGTATGGCCCAGCACAGCCCAGTATAGCCTGATTTTACCAGTATAGCCCAATATAGCCCAGTGCAAACCAGTATGGCCCAGTAGAGCCCAACACAGCCCAGCGCAAACCAGTACAGCCCAATATAGCCCAGTGCAAACCAGTATGGCCCAGTACAGCCCAACACAGCCCAGTGCAAACCAGTACAGCCCAATAAAAACCAGTGCAGCCCTGTATGGCCCACCCAGGGGTGCGGGAGGCTTCGGTGCCGGGACACCCCCTTTCTTGGGGGGGCTCCTGGCTGTCCCCCCCACCAGTGTGTCACGCCGGGTTGTCCCCTCCAAGGGCAACATCAAGTTCTCAGCGGAGGGCGAGGCGGCGGCGGCGGAGGACACGGCGGTGGTGGAGGACACGGCGCAGCTCTCGGCGCTGGCCGAGCTGACGGCCACGGCCCCGGACGACCTGCGGCGGGCCCTCCTGAGCCGCACCGTGGCGGCCGGCGGCGGCGAGCTCATCGAGAAGGGCCACAGCCCCAAGGAGGCTGCCTACGCCCGGGACGCCTGCGCCAAGGTAGGGAAGGGGACACGGGGTGATGGGGCACCTCTGCTCCGAGGACAGGCTGAGGGAGCTGGGGTTGTTCAGCCTGGAGAAGAGGAGGCTCCAGGGAGACCTAATAGCAGCCTCCCAGTACCTGAAGGGAGCCTACAGGAAGGCTGGGGAGAGCCTGTTTAGAAAGGCCTGCAGTGACAGGACGAGGGGCAATGGCTTCAAGCTGGAGGGGAACAGATTTAGACTGGAGATGAGGAGAGGGTTCTTCACTGGGAGGGTGGTGGAGCACTGGAACAGGTTGCCCAGGGAGGTGGTTGAGGCCCCATCCCTGGAGATATTCAAGGAGAGGCTCGACGAGGCCCTGGGCAACCTGGTCTAGTTGGGGGTGTCCCTGCTGACTGCGGGGGGGTCGGACTAGATGACCTTTGGAGGTCCCTTCTGGCCTGGGCAATTCTATGATTTTATGATTCTATGGGTTCCTTCACCCAACCCCATCGGGTGCCCACCTTCTCCTTGGTGTCTCCTCAAGGCCATCTACGAGCGGCTCTTCTGCTGGATCGTGGGGCGCATCAACGCCGGCATCGCTGCCCGCGGCTACGACGCCCGCCTGCACGGCAAGAGCACCGTCATCGGCGTCCTCGACATCTACGGCTTCGAGATCTTCGACACCAACAGGTGACCTGGCCCCAAAGCTGGGGGACACACGTGTGGAGGGGCCCAGCAGGACCTGGGAGGGACATGGGGATGGGAACGATGTGTGGAAGGGACAGGGGGACATTTGGGAGGGACACCTGGAAGGGACAGGGGTTGGGGGGATGCATGAGGGGAATGGAGGCCTAGGAGGGACACGTGGAGGTGACAGGGCCCAGGAGAGACATGTGGAGGGATGGGACCCAGGAGGGACACATGGAGGGGACAGGACCCAGGAGGGACACGTGGAGGTGACAGAGCCCAGGAGAGACATGTGGAGGGATGGGACCCAGGAGGGACACATGGAGGGGACAGGACCTGGGAAGGACACAGGGAGGTGACAGGATCCAAGAGGGACATGTAGCAGGAGGCAGATGCTCAAGGGACATACGGGGGGCTTCAGAGGGACATGTGAAGGAGATGGGACTCAGGAGGGACAGGACCATTGGGTACCCATAGAGGGATGGGACCAGGAGGTCCCCAGCAGGGCCAAGCAGCTCGGGGTTGCGTGTGGCAGGACAGGGTGGGCAGGGGACATGGTGTGGGACCGGGTGACAATGGCCAGGCTGACCTTCTGTCCACAGCTTCGAGCAGTTCTGCATCAACTACTGCAATGAGAAGCTGCAGCAGCTCTTCATCGAGCTCATCCTGCGGCAAGAGCAGGCCGAGTACCAGCGGGAGGGCATCGCCTGGCAGAACGTGAGGGGCATGGGGACGTGGGGGGACATGTGGGGGACATGAGGGAATCACCTGGCAGAACGTGAGGGGCATGGGGACGTGGGGGCATCGCCTGGCCGAGCGTGAGGGGCATGGGGACATGGGGGGATGTATGGGGGACATGATGGAATCACCTGGCAGAGTGTGGGGGGCATGGGAACATGGAGGGGGACAGGGAGGCATCACCTGGTAGAGCATGAGGGACATGTTGGGGACATGGGGGCATCTCCTGGCAGATCTTGGGGGGCTTAAGGGGACATGGAGATGGGAGGTTCATGGAGAGGACATGGGGACATGGCCTGGCAGAGCGTGGTGGGGACACAGGGAATGTAGTGAGGACGTGGATGCCATCACCTGGAGAGATTTGGGGTGCCGAGGGGGATCAATTCGGGGTGCCCACCCCCTTGCTTCCCCCCCCCAACCCCAGATCGAGTACTTCAGCAACGAGCCCATCGTGGAGCTGGTGGAGCAGCCGCACCGGGGCATCCTGGCGCTGCTGGACGAGGCCTGCCTGGCCGTGGGGACCGTCACCGACTCCCTCTTCCTCGCCTCCATGGACACCCGCCTGCGCCACCACCCCCACTACACCAGCCGCAAGGTGCTTCTGGGGGGGATCCAGGGGGGTCAGGGAGTCCACAGGTGGGGGGGACTGACCTCTCTCTGCTCCACAGCTCTGTCCCACAGACAAGACCATGGAGTTTGACCGGGACTTCCGCATCAAGCACTACGCTGGAGATGTCACGTGAGGGAGACATTGAGGGGACGTGGAAGGGGGGGGCATGGTGTCATCAGGTGGGCATGGGGTTGTGAGGCACCATGAGGGACCTTGGGAGAGCATGGGGGCCACGGGGGGTCACTTGGGACCATGGTGCTATACGGCTCTTAGGGGTCTATGGTTGACCATCAGGCCTTGGAGATCCAGGGGGGCAAAGTGGGAGCATGAAGGGGGGTCTTGAGAGACAATGGGAGGTGGTTTGGGGTCACGGGGGACCATCAGGCTGTGGGGATCATGGGGTACCATGAGGGACTAGAAGGGGTGTCCATTGGGCATCTGGGTGGCCATCAGGGACTATGGACATCATGAGCGGCCATGGAGAACCATGAGGAACCATGGTGGGCCTTGAGGCCATAAGGGACTTTGGGAAGGCATGAGGGACCACGGGGGGCTACTTGGAACCATGGAGGGTCATGGGGCCATAGGGGCCCTTTGGGGGACTATGGGTAGCCTTGGTTGACCATGGGGCTTTGAGGACCCATGGAAGATTGCATGGAGCCATTTAGGACCATGGGAGGCCATTTGGGGGACCAATGGGGCCCATGGGGTCTGGGAGGTCCCCAGAGGCCACGTGCAGCAGGACAGGCTGTGTAGGACATGCTGTGCCCTGGGGACAGTGGGGACAGGGTCGGGGGACTCTGTGTCCATGAGCACTGAACCCCACCGTCCCCTGGCCTCCATGGATGCCCCCTGGGCCACCCCTAGGGCCACCCCCAGGGCCACATCTCATCTCTGCATGGAGTTTGAGGCCCCTGGCAGCCCCTGTCCCACCCCAGGGAGGAAGAGCTGGGTCCTTCAAGTTGCACCTCCCCTCAAGACACCCCAAGGTGGCTGAGGAGCCCCCCAACACGGTGTCCCCGTCCCTCAGGTACTCGGTGGAGGGTTTCCTGGACAAGAACAAGGACACGCTCTTCCAGGACTTCAAACGGCTCTTCTACAACAGGTTGGGGACACACGGGACACAGCTGGGGGGGTGGTGGCACAGCTGTGGGGCAGGAGGGGGGCAGCTGGTGCAGCCAGCCCCACACCAATACTGTCCCCAGCGCGGACCCTGTGCTACGTGCCATGTGGCCTGACGGCGAGCAGAGCATCACCGAGGTCACCAAGCGCCCGCTGACCACCGGCACCCTCTTCAAGAACTCCATCGTGGCCCTGGTGGAGAACCTCGCCTCCAAGGTAGGGGACTGGGGACAGCCAGATGTGTCCCCAGTGCCAGCCTGGCATGTCCCCATGGCAACTGGGCACGTCCCCAACCCATCTTGGTGTGTTCCCATGGGAGCTGGGCATCCTCAAGCCACATGGGCATGTTCCTGAGCCAGCCTGGCATGTCCTCAAGCCAGTCAAGCTTGTCCCCAAGCCAGCTGAGCCTGTCCCCAAGCCAGCCAAGATGTCCTCGAGTCAGCCTGGCATGTCCCCAAGCCAGCCAAGGGCTCCCTGTGCCAGCCTGGCATGTCCTTGTGCCAGCCTGCCATGTCCCCAAGCAAGCCAAGATGTCCTTGAGTGAGTCAAGATGTCCCTTTGCCAGCCAGGGACAGTCAAGATGTCCCCCAAGCCACCATAGATGTCTCCAAGCCAGCCTGGTGTGTCCCCAATCGAGCTAAGATGTCCCTGTGCTAGCCTGGCATGTCCCCAAGCCACCATAGATGTCTCCAAGCCAGCCTGGCATGTCCCCAAGCGACCCAAGATGTCCCTGTGCTAGCCTGGCATGTCCCCAAGCCACAGAGCCCTTCTCCCATGGGAGCTGGGCATCCTCAAGCCACATGGGCATGTTCCTGAGCCAGCCTGGCATGTCCTCAAGCCAGTCAAGCTTGTCCCCAAGCCAGCTGAGCCTGTCCCCAAGCCAGCCAAGATGTCCTCGAGTCAGCCTGGCATGTCCCCAAGCCAGCCAAGGGCTCCCTGTGCCAGCCTGGCATGTCCTTGTGCCAGCCTGCCATGTCCCCAAGCAAGCCAAGATGTCCTTGAGTGAGTCAAGATGTCCCTTTGCCAGCCAGGGACAGTCAAGATGTCCCCCAAGCCACCATAGATGTCTCCAAGCCAGCCTGGTGTGTCCCCAATCGAGCTAAGATGTCCCTGTGCTAGCCTGGCATGTCCCCAAGCCACCATAGATGTCTCCAAGCCAGCCTGGCATGTCCCCAAGCGAGCCAAGATGTCCCTGTGCTTGCCTGGCATGTCCCCAAGCCACAGAGCCCTTCTGTCCCCATCCCACCCTGCTTGCCCAGAGCCCCCCATCCCAGAACATCTGTAGTCTTGGTCCAACTGATGATCGTGATCCCCAAGTCAGTCAACATGTTCCAGTGCCAGCCAGGCATGTCCCCAAGCCAGCTGAGCCTGTCCCCAAGCCAGTTAAGATGTCCTCAAGTCAGCCTGGCATGTCCCCAAGCTCCCTGTGCCAGCCTGGCATGTCCTTGTGCCAGCCTGCCATGTCCCCAAGCAAGCCAAGATGTCCTTGAGTGAGTCAAGATGTCCCTTTGCCAGCCAGGGACAGTCAAGATGTCCCCCAAGCCACCATAGATGTCTCCAAGCCAGCCTGGTGTGTCCCCAATCGAGCTAAGATGTCCCTGTGCTAGCCTGGCATGTCCCCAAGCCACCATAGATGTCTCCAAGCCAGCCTGGCATGTCCCCAAGCGACCCAAGATGTCCCTGTGCTAGCCTGGCATGTCCCCAAGCCACAGAGCCCTTCTGTCCCCATCCCACCCTGCTTGCCCAGAGCCCCCCATCCCAGAACATCTGTAGTCTTGGTCCAACTGATGATCGTGGTGGCATGTGGTGCCACCATGATGCCACCCCCTCCGTGTCCCCACAGGAGCCCTACTACGTGCGCTGCATCAAACCCAACGACCAGAAGTCACCCACCCTCTTCGACGAGGAGCGTTGCCGTCACCAGGTCTCCTACCTGGGGCTGCTGGAGAACGTCCGCGTGCGTCGCGCCGGCTTCGCCTACCGCCAGCCCTACGACCGCTTCCTCCAGCGGTACGGCCCATGTCCTCCCCCCTGGCTCCCCACATCTTCCCCCTGCACCCCCTCATCCGCCCCCCATCTGCCCCCCAACCAGGTACAAGATGACCTGCGAGTACACCTGGCCCAACCACCTGATGGCCACCGACCGGGAGGCCACGCAAGCCCTCCTGGAACAGCACGGCTTCCAGGACGACGTGGCTTATGGCCACACCAAGGTCTTCATCCGCACGCCCCGTACCCTCTTCTCCCTCGAGCAGGAGCGGGCGCAGCTCATCCCCATCATCGTCCTGCTGCTGCAGAAGGTGGGCATGTGTGGCATGAGTTGGCTGGGTCTCAGCTCCGCCAGGGTGACATGGGAAGGGGACACACACACACCTCAATGCCCAGATAGCCCCAGGGCCAGCGGGCATGGGGAGCTGCTGGTGCTAGGGGGCTTGATGTGGGGCAGGGTGGGGTATGGGATGGTGCAGAGCACAGGTTTGGTGTGGGGCACGGTGTAGGGTGTGCTGTGGGGCAGGGCATGGGGCACAGAGCATGGCATGGGGTGTGACATGGGGCATGCTGTGGGGCAGGGCATGGGGAAAAGCATGGGGCATAGTATAGGGCACAGTGTGGAGCTGGGCATGGAGCATGGCATAGGGCAGGCTGTGGGGCTGGGCATGGGATGGGACATGGGGCAGGACTGGGACATGGGACATGACATGGGGTGTGATGTGGGGCAGGGCATGGGGCATGCTGTGGGGCATGGTGTGGGCTGTGATGTGGGGCAGGGCATGCTGTGGAGCATGGTATAGGGTGGGACATGGGGCAGGGCTGTGACATAGGACATGACATAGGCTGTGATGTGGGGCAGGGCATGCTGTGGAGCATGGTATAGGGTGGGACATGGGGCAGGGCTGTGACATAGGACATGACATAGGCTGTGATGTGGGGCAGGGCATGCTGTGGGGCATGGCATGGGGTGTGATGTGGGGCACGGTATGGGCTGTGATGTGGGGCAGGGTGTGCTGTGGGGCACGGTATGGGCTGTGACGTGGGGCAGGGCATGCTGTGGGGTGGGATGTGGGGCAGGAGGAGGATCATGGGCTGCCGGGGGGAGTTTTGGGGTGGTTCCGAGCAGCATTTTCGGAGGCGGGGGGGACACCCCAGAGCTGCGATGCCCCAGACCTCATTCCGGGGGAGATGGGGATCCGTGGGGCAGTGCCCGCCCTGACCCCCCGGTTGTGGGGCAGGCTTGGCGCGGCGCCCTGGCCCGTCGGCGCTGCCGTTACCTGCGTGCTGCCTACACCATCATGGCGTACTACAAGCGGCACAAGGTGAAGGAGTACCTGCGGGACCTGCTGCGCCGCTTCCAGCACGTCCGATCCCTCCCCGACTACGGCAAGAGCGTGGTCTGGCCCCAGCCCCCCGCCGTGCTCACCCGCTTCCAGGAGGGCAGCCAGCGCCTCTTCCGCAGGTACCGGGCCCGATCCCACCACGGGGCGTGGGATGGGGATGGGGAGGTGGGATGTGGGATGTGGAGTGGGGATATGGGATGAGGATGGGGAGGTGGGACAGTGATGAGGGATGGGGACGTGGGATAAGGATGTGGGATGGAGATGGGGAGGTGGGACAGGGATGGGGTCGTGGGGTGGGGATATGGGATGGAAATGGGGATGTTGGATGGGGATGTGGGATAAAGGTGTGGGATGGAAATGGGGACATGGGACAGGGATGTGGACGTGGGACAGGGATGGGGATGTGGGATGGGGACATGAGGTGGGAATATGGGATAAGGGTGTGGGATGAAGATGGGGGACGTGGGACGGGGATGTAGGACAGGGATGGGGACCTGGGGTGGGGATATGGGATAAGGGTGTGGAATGGAGGTGGGGACATGGGACAGGGATGGGGATATGGAATAAGGATGTGGGATGGAGATGGGGACGTGGGACAGGGATGGGGACATGGGGCAGGGATGGGGACTTGGGGTGGGGATATGGGATAAGGATGTGGGACAGGGATGGGAATGTGGGACAGGGATGTGGATGTGGGACGGGAATGGGGACATGAGATGGGGACACAGATGTGAGATGGGGATGGGGACATGGATGTGGGACAGGGATGGGGACATGGGATGGGGATGTGGGACAGGGATGTGGATGTGGGACGGGAATGGGGACATGAGATGGGGACACAGATGTGAGATGGGGATGGGGACATGGATGTGGGACAGGGATGGGGACATGGGATAGGGATGGGGACATGGGACAAGAATGGGGATTTGGGACAGGAATGAGGATGTGGGACAGGGATGGGAATGTGGGACAGGGATGTGGATGAGGGACGGGAATGGGGACATGAGATGGGGACACAGATGTGAGATGGGGATGGGGACATGGATGTGGGACAGGGATGGGAATGTGGGACAGGGATGTGGATGAGGGACGGGAATGGGGACATGAGATGGGGACACAGATGTGAGATGGGGATGGGGACATGGATGTGGGACAGGGATGGGAATGTGGGACAGGGATGTGGATGAGGGACGGGAATGGGGACATGAGATGGGGACACAGATGTGAGATGGGGATGGGGACATGGATGTGGGACAGGGATGGGAATGTGGGACAGGGATGTGGATGAGGGACGGGAATGGGGACATGAGATGGGGACACAGATGTGAGATGGGGATGGGGACATGGATGTGGGACAGGGATGGGAATGTGGGACAGGGATGTGGATGAGGGACGGGAATGGGGACATGAGATGGGGACACAGATGTGAGATGGGGATGGGGACATGGATGTGGGACAGGGATGGGAATGTGGGACAGGGATGTGGATGAGGGACGGGAATGGGGACATGAGATGGGGACACAGATGTGAGATGGGGATGGGGACATGGATGTGGGACAGGGATGGGAATGTGGGACAGGGATGTGGATGAGGGACGGGAATGGGGACATGAGATGGGGACACAGATGTGAGATGGGGATGGGGACATGGATGTGGGACAGGGATGGGAATGTGGGACAGGGATGTGGATGAGGGACGGGAATGGGGACATGAGATGGGGACACAGATGTGAGATGGGGATGGGGACATGGATGTGGGACAGGGATGGGAATGTGGGACAGGGATGTGGATGAGGGACGGGAATGGGGACATGAGATGGGGACACAGATGTGAGATGGGGATGGGGACATGGATGTGGGACAGGGATGGGAATGTGGGACAGGGATGTGGATGAGGGACGGGAATGGGGACATGAGATGGGGACACAGATGTGAGATGGGGATGGGGACATGGATGTGGGACAGGGATGGGAATGTGGGACAGGGATGTGGATGAGGGACGGGAATGGGGACATGAGATGGGGACACAGATGTGAGATGGGGATGGGGACATGGATGTGGGACAGGGATGGGAATGTGGGACAGGGATGTGGATGAGGGACGGGAATGGGGACATGAGATGGGGACACAGATGTGAGATGGGGATGGGGACATGGATGTGGGACAGGGATGGGAATGTGGGACAGGGATGTGGATGAGGGACGGGAATGGGGACATGAGATGGGGACACAGATGTGAGATGGGGATGGGGACATGGATGTGGGACAGGGATGGGAATGTGGGACAGGGATGTGGATGAGGGACGGGAATGGGGACATGAGATGGGGACACAGATGTGAGATGGGGATGGGGACATGGATGTGGGACAGGGATGGGAATGTGGGACAGGGATGTGGATGAGGGACGGGAATGGGGACATGAGATGGGGACACAGATGTGAGATGGGGATGGGGACATGGATGTGGGACAGGGATGGGAATGTGGGACAGGGATGTGGATGAGGGACGGGAATGGGGACATGAGATGGGGACACAGATGTGAGATGGGGATGGGGACATGGATGTGGGACAGGGATGGGAATGTGGGACAGGGATGTGGATGAGGGACGGGAATGGGGACATGAGATGGGGACACAGATGTGAGATGGGGATGGGGACATGGATGTGGGACAGGGATGGGAATGTGGGACAGGGATGTGGATGAGGGACGGGAATGGGGACATGAGATGGGGACACAGATGTGAGATGGGGATGGGGACATGGATGTGGGACAGGGATGGGAATGTGGGACAGGGATGTGGATGAGGGACGGGAATGGGGACATGAGATGGGGACACAGATGTGAGATGGGGATGGGGACATGGATGTGGGACAGGGATGGGAATGTGGGACAGGGATGTGGATGAGGGACGGGAATGGGGACATGAGATGGGGACACAGATGTGAGATGGGGATGGGGACATGGATGTGGGACAGGGATGGGAATGTGGGACAGGGATGTGGATGAGGGACGGGAATGGGGACATGAGATGGGGACACAGATGTGAGATGGGGATGGGGACATGGATGTGGGACAGGGATGGGAATGTGGGACAGGGATGTGGATGAGGGACGGGAATGGGGACATGAGATGGGGACACAGATGTGAGATGGGGATGGGGACATGGATGTGGGACAGGGATGGGAATGTGGGACAGGGATGTGGATGAGGGACGGGAATGGGGACATGAGATGGGGACACAGATGTGAGATGGGGATGGGGACATGGATGTGGGACAGGGATGGGAATGTGGGACAGGGATGTGGATGAGGGACGGGAATGGGGACATGAGATGGGGACACAGATGTGAGATGGGGATGGGGACATGGATGTGGGACAGGGATGGGAATGTGGGACAGGGATGTGGATGAGGGACGGGAATGGGGACATGAGATGGGGACACAGATGTGAGATGGGGATGGGGACATGGATGTGGGACAGGGATGGGAATGTGGGACAGGGATGTGGATGAGGGACGGGAATGGGGACATGAGATGGGGACACAGATGTGAGATGGGGATGGGGACATGGATGTGGGACAGGGATGGGAATGTGGGACAGGGATGTGGATGAGGGACGGGAATGGGGACATGAGATGGGGACACAGATGTGAGATGGGGATGGGGACATGGATGTGGGACAGGGATGGGAATGTGGGACAGGGATGTGGATGAGGGACGGGAATGGGGACATGAGATGGGGACACAGATGTGAGATGGGGATGGGGACATGGATGTGGGACAGGGATGGGAATGTGGGACAGGGATGTGGATGAGGGACGGGAATGGGGACATGAGATGGGGACACAGATGTGAGATGGGGATGGGGACATGGATGTGGGACAGGGATGGGAATGTGGGACAGGGATGTGGATGAGGGACGGGAATGGGGACATGAGATGGGGACACAGATGTGAGATGGGGATGGGGACATGGATGTGGGACAGGGATGGGAATGTGGGACAGGGATGTGGATGAGGGACGGGAATGGGGACATGAGATGGGGACACAGATGTGAGATGGGGATGGGGACATGGATGTGGGACAGGGATGGGAATGTGGGACAGGGATGTGGATGAGGGACGGGAATGGGGACATGAGATGGGGACACAGATGTGAGATGGGGATGGGGACATGGATGTGGGACAGGGATGGGAATGTGGGACAGGGATGTGGATGAGGGACGGGAATGGGGACATGAGATGGGGACACAGATGTGAGATGGGGATGGGGACATGGATGTGGGACAGGGATGGGAATGTGGGACAGGGATGTGGATGAGGGACGGGAATGGGGACATGAGATGGGGACACAGATGTGAGATGGGGATGGGGACATGGATGTGGGACAGGGATGGGAATGTGGGACAGGGATGTGGATGAGGGACGGGAATGGGGACATGAGATGGGGACACAGATGTGAGATGGGGATGGGGACATGGATGTGGGACAGGGATGGGAATGTGGGACAGGGATGTGGATGAGGGACGGGAATGGGGACATGAGATGGGGACACAGATGTGAGATGGGGATGGGGACATGGATGTGGGACAGGGATGGGAATGTGGGACAGGGATGTGGATGAGGGACGGGAATGGGGACATGAGATGGGGACACAGATGTGAGATGGGGATGGGGACATGGATGTGGGACAGGGATGGGAATGTGGGACAGGGATGTGGATGAGGGACGGGAATGGGGACATGAGATGGGGACACAGATGTGAGATGGGGATGGGGACATGGATGTGGGACAGGGATGGGAATGTGGGACAGGGATGTGGATGAGGGACGGGAATGGGGACATGAGATGGGGACACAGATGTGAGATGGGGATGGGGACATGGATGTGGGACAGGGATGGGAATGTGGGACAGGGATGTGGATGAGGGACGGGAATGGGGACATGAGATGGGGACACAGATGTGAGATGGGGATGGGGACATGGATGTGGGACAGGGATGGGAATGTGGGACAGGGATGTGGATGAGGGACGGGAATGGGGACATGAGATGGGGACACAGATGTGAGATGGGGATGGGGACATGGATGTGGGACAGGGATGGGAATGTGGGACAGGGATGTGGATGAGGGACGGGAATGGGGACATGAGATGGGGACACAGATGTGAGATGGGGATGGGGACATGGATGTGGGACAGGGATGGGAATGTGGGACAGGGATGTGGATGAGGGACGGGAATGGGGACATGAGATGGGGACACAGATGTGAGATGGGGATGGGGACATGGATGTGGGACAGGGATGGGAATGTGGGACAGGGATGTGGATGAGGGACGGGAATGGGGACATGAGATGGGGACACAGATGTGAGATGGGGATGGGGACATGGATGTGGGACAGGGATGGGAATGTGGGACAGGGATGTGGATGAGGGACGGGAATGGGGACATGAGATGGGGACACAGATGTGAGATGGGGATGGGGACATGGATGTGGGACAGGGATGGGAATGTGGGACAGGGATGTGGATGAGGGACGGGAATGGGGACATGAGATGGGGACACAGATGTGAGATGGGGATGGGGACATGGATGTGGGACAGGGATGGGAATGTGGGACAGGGATGTGGATGAGGGACGGGAATGGGGACATGAGATGGGGACACAGATGTGAGATGGGGATGGGGACATGGATGTGGGACAGGGATGGGAATGTGGGACAGGGATGTGGATGAGGGACGGGAATGGGGACATGAGATGGGGACACAGATGTGAGATGGGGATGGGGACATGGATGTGGGACAGGGATGGGGACATGGGACAGGGATGGGGACATGGGACAAGAATGGGGATTTGGGACAGGAATGAGGATGTGGGACAGGGATGGGGATATGGCGTAGGTACATTGATGTGGGATGGGGATGGAGATGTGGGACAGGGATGGGGACATGGGATGGGGATGTGGGACAGGGATGTGGATGTGGGACAGGGATGGGGACATGGCGTAGGTACATTGATGTGGGATGGGGATGGAGATGTGGGACAGGGATGGGGACATGGGATGGGGATGTGACATGGGGACAGGGACAGGAATGGGGACATGGGATGACGACATGGGCACAGGACAGGGATGTGGAACAGGGACATGGGTTGGGGATTGTGGGACAGTGAGGCATGGGAGGGGGGTGTGGGATGGTGACATGAGGTCACCCTGTGTGTGTCCCCCCGCTGCAGGTGGCGAGCGCGGCAAATCGTCAAGAACATCCCCCCCTCGGAGATGGGGCAGATCCGGGCCAAGGTGGCTGCCATGGAGGCGCTGGGGGGGCTGCGGAAGGACTGGGGCTGCCAGCGCAGCTGGACACGGGATTATCTCTCCTCGGTAAGGGCTGGTGGCAGGTTTGGGATGTCCTGGGGTGTCACCACCACCCCCCCCCCCCCCTTCCCCCCCAAGGATGTCACCCCATCCCACCCAACGCCGTGTCTCCCCCACAGCCCAGCGAGAACCCGGGGCTGGCCCTGCCCTTCGCCCGCCGCCTCCAGACCCTCAAGGACAAGGTGCATTTCAGCTCCGTCCTCTTCTCCTGCCACGTCCGCAAGGTGAGGGGGGAGGTCCTGCCCGGCCACCACGTCTGTGTCACACACAGCCCTCCTCCAACGTGTCCCCTCACCTGTCCCTGTCCCTTCCCCTGTCCCTGTCCCCACAGATCAACCGCTTCGGTAAGAGTCGGGACCGGGCCATCCTGGTGACGGACCACCACGTCTACAAGCTGGACCCCCAGAAGCAGTACCGGGTGATGCGGGCGCTGCCCCTCAGCACCGTGAGTGTCCCCAGCCCCACCGGTGTCCCCAGAGCATGGGAGGGCCAAGGCCACCCCCTACACCCTCTCCTGGGTCAGGAGGACCCAGCTGTCCTGATCGCCCTGCTCCCACCTGGAGGTTGGAGACCCCCTCCGTGGTCCTCATGACCATCCGTGTTGGCAGGGTGAAGTCCCCTGGGACAGAGGTGTGATTCTGTCCCCACCACGCTGTCCTCACCATGCTGGCCATGCCACACTGTCCCCACCACGCTGTCCCCACCACACTGGCAGTGCCATGACATCCCCACCATGCTGTCCTCACCACACTGTTCCCACCACACTGGCCATACCACGTTGTCCCCACCATGCTGGCCATGCTGTGCTGTCCCCACCACGCTGTCCCCACCTCACTGACCATGGTCCCTTGGCCACGGTGCCTTGGCCACACCACTCTGGCCTCCCCAGACAGAGCCATGGCCATGGGGGTGACACCCAGACGTCCCCACAGGTGACAGGGCTGAGCGTGACGAGCTGCCAGGCGCAGCTGGTGGTCTTCCACACCCAGAACCAGGAGGACCTGGCCGTGTGCCTGCACAAGACGCAGCCAGCGGGGGACAACCGGGTGGGCGAGCTGGTGGGCGTCCTCCTGGACCACTGCCGAGCGTGAGTTTTGGGGGGAAACGGAAGGTTTGAGGGGGGGCTGAGGATTTTGGTGTGATTGGGTCCCAGCACCCTGAGAACCACCTCCCGTTGATGGTGGGATGTTGTAGGACCAAGCGGGAGCTGCAGATCCGTGTCTCCGACTGTATCCAGCTGAGCCTCCGCGGGCGCCGGCGACTGCTGACGGTGGAGACGCGACCGGATGCGACCACCCCCGATTTCGGCAAGAGCCGCGATGGCTTCGTGCTTTACTGGCCCGGGAGATGAGGAGTTGGGGGGCCACCACCCCTCACCCCCCTTGGCTGCATTCTGCCCACCCCACTGACCTCTGCTCAGGACCCCCCACCCCTGTGACCCCCAACCCAGTGTCCCCCCTCAGGGATGATGCTGAAAACTCTGTGAGCACTGGGAATAAAGAGCTGGATGGGACCCCAAGCACAGCCAGGACCTTCAGGTTCTCCAGCAGCCCCTCAGCATGGGGCTGGGGTCCCCCAAAAACTGTCCCACAGCCTGGTTCCCCCAGCAGTGGGGCTGGCATGGGAGCATGGATGGAGGTGGGGTGGGAATGGGGTGGTGGAGGAGGGAGGGAGGGAGGGATGGATGTGGTGGGTGGAAGCGGGATGGATGGGTGGGTGGAAGCGGGATGGATGGGTGGATGGAAGCGGGATGGATAGGTTGATGGAAGCGGGATGGATGGATTGATGGAAGTGGGATGGATGGATGGATGGATGGATGGATGGAAGTGGGATGGATGGATGGATGGAAGTGGGATGGGATCTGTGGGGTGGGATGGGGGGAGATGGATGGGAAGGGCTGGGATGGGGCCTATGGCCCTGGTGTCCCCAGACACCGATGTCCCTGACACCCAGTCTCCCCATGTCCCCAACCTTGGTGTCCCCGTGCCCTAGGGAGAGATGAATCCAATGGATGGACAGATGGATGGGTGGGAAAATGGGGGTTTTTCACAGGTGGCAGAAGGTGGCTGCTGTCCCACTGGGATTTGGGAAGCCCCTAACGAGCCAAAGAGCTCGTCCTGTGCCAGAACTCGTCGAACAATTAAATTAATGAGTTATTATAGCAAAAAAAAACCCAATATTATTATTCTGAGGGTCCCTTCCGGCCTGCACCAGGCCCAGGCCTGAGTGGGCGCAGCCGTTGCCATGGGAACCGCTCGTCCTTTCCCCCTGCCCGCCCCGGGAGCGGGGCGTCGCCATAGCAACAGCGGTCTCCTCCTATCAGCGAGCTCCATCGCCATGGGAACAGCTGTCTCCTCCTATCAGCGAGCGCGGCGTCGCTATGGGAACAGCCTTCGCCCCGCCTTCGGGAGGCGGGCTGAGCGTCGCCATGGAAACCACGGGGGGGAGAGAAGGGGCGTCTCCATGGTAACGGCGCCGGAAGGGGCGGGGCGTCGGGAGGACTCGGTTTCCCGTGAGGCGCCGGGCGCGCTTCCGGCGGGCGGGCGGTGCCGGCGGGCGCAGGCCGGGATGGAGGCCGTGCCCCGCATGCCCATGATCTGGCTCGACCTCAAGGAGGCCGGGGAGTTCGCCTTCAACGCCGCCGTCAAGAAGGTGGGGGCGGGGGGTGGTGAGGGAGGCGGCTGGGGTCGCCCAGGGGCCCCCGGGGGAGGT